GAATTATAAATTCTTTGAATATAAGTAACAAGATATGGTGAAGCAACAAAACTAAAAGGTAAACAACCTAAAATAATCACTTTAGCTAATTCTTTCCGATCTTTCACTATATCATATTTACCCATTAAACCGTCAGTACCCAGGTTAAGTTTTTGTTGGCCAGATTCTTCATCAACACCCCATGAATAGGGTGATTATCTACCATGTGCTTACAAATTTGACATCTTATATAATTTTTATCTTCTTCTAGTCTTTCAAAGAATTGCCAATACTTACTTCTTAATCTTCGATTCTTCTTAATAGGGAGGGGAGGCCTACCTGTATTACCACCACCTCCACCCCTAGTATTTTGACTAACAGTAACAAGTGTAGGTGGTGGTGCTTCAAGATTATCACCTGATTGAATTTCATCTAAATTATCATCTGTACCATAATCTTCTTGAAGTTGCGCATAATCTACATAAATTTTCAGGTGAATTTTTAGAAATATGTGTAAAGCTACTAGAAGAATCACTACCACCTCTTGATCATTTAGGATTTTTACACTTACTACTACCACCCTTACTAGTACACGCTTTTTTGGCTGATCTAAATATATCCATTATGTAAATTAAATTAAAAACTAAATTAATAATTCTAAATAATAAAATAAAATAAACACCAAAGAAGAGAAAGAGATGGAACGAGTGTACCGGGAGTTCGGATGCCGCACTAAATTTGATATCACGCTTCAATTGATATTTGACTATATTGATACCACACTTCACTTGAATACTTGATATTTGATAATCATAATTTTGTAGTGGCTAAAGTAAATATTTGATGTAATTTGAAATAATAAGTAATTGAAAACTTGAGAGCAATAAGCAATTTTATCAAGAGAGAATAACAGTAGTAAGTGTAACGATCCGACCGGTCATTTTGAGCATTTACATTTCGCTCTGTAGTTTACGGGCATGAGTAGCTCCGTATGATGTATTATGACTTATGTGAATTGTCGGTTTTGGTTTTCAGGTTATTCGGAATCGATTTAGAAGAATGAATTTCATTTTTGAAGCTTAAGTTGAAAGAGTTAACCAAGTTTGACTTTTTGTGAGTTTGACCCTAGAACGGAGTTTTGATGGTTTCGATATGTCCGGATGGTGATTTTGGACTCGGATGTAAACCCGGATTTGCATTTGGATGTTTCTAGAAGGTTTCGGCACAATTGGCAAAAGTTGGAAATTTGAAAGTTTGGAATGTTCATAAGTTTGACCGGAAGTCGACTTTGATGATATAGGGTTTGGATTATGGTTACGGGAATTGGAATAGCTTTGTTATGTCATTTGGAACTTGTGTGCAAAATTTGAGGTCATTCCGAGTTGATTTGATATGGTTCGACACAAGTTTTAGAAGTTGAAAGTTCAAAAGTTCATTAAGTTCAATTTGAGGTGTCATTCATGATTTTGATATTTTTAAGCGTGATTTGAAGCCTCGAGTAAGTTCGTGATATGATATGGGACTTGTTGGTATGTTCGTACGGGGTCCCGAGGGGCTTGGGTGAGTTTCGGATAGGTTTGGATTGTGTTGCGCTCGTTTTTTTATGTTTCGACGTCGTTTCTTCAAGCATAAATGATACCATATTAATAAAATAAGCTTCAATTTATGTTTTGATTGAAGCATTAGATCCTTATCGTAATTACGGAGCCATATAAAAAAGAATCGTCGAATTTGGACATCGTATGAGGGAGTTATGCTCATTTTAGTGTCGAAGAAGAGAGCTGGTGCTGGTGTTTCGCAGATGCGAAGTTGGGTCCGCATCTGCTACCCTGCAGGTGCGCAAAAATGGTCCGCAAAAGCGGAAATGACAGCTGGAAATGCGCAGGTGCGGAGTTTTTATCGCAAAAGCGAAAATCCATATGTATAAAAAAAATCAGACTGCGTTCTTTTGGTATTTTGAGCATATCTTGAGTTCTAGAGCTCCGATTGAGGTGATTTTTGCGGCGTTCTTCTCTTCTTTTCATGCGTTTCAGTATCTAAATACAATTTTTGTATTTTAATATGATCACAGAAGTTTTTTTTTTTAATTAATCCATATTTTGATTGGAGAATTGGGGATTTTTATCAAAAACTTTTTAAGGTGAATAATTGAGTTTTGAACATCGATTCGGAGTTGGAATTGGATGAAAATAGTATGGTTGGACACGTAATTGAATGGGCTTTGATTAAAGATTCGACCTTTATCATTTGGAATAGTTTCCTTGGGCTTTATCTGATGTATTTGAGTTATTTTTGGCTAGTTTTGGGCCGTTCGAAGGTCGGTACACGGAGGATGGCATTTTGGAGCGTCGTTTTGGCCTGCTCGGTATTGGTTTTTGGCTTATTCAATGTAAGTAACACTTCTAAACTTGGTGCTGAGGGTATGAAACCCCGAATTACGTGTTATGTGATTGGTGTCGAGGTGACACACATGCTAGGTGACGGGCGTGTGGGCGTGCACCGTATGAATTGTGACTCTGTTATTTCTGTAGTACTGTGTAGTTACCTGATCTTACCTGTAACCATGAAACTTCTACGTTCTTGAGATATTAAGCTGTGATCCATGTTAGAAACCATGTCTAGGCTACATGCTTATCCTGTTGGGACCCACAGAGGTCATTTTTGTTGTTGAATTATCTGATTTTATTGCATTACATACTCAGTCATATGCATATCATATTTCAGCTCTGTTACCATTTATTGACACATAATAACATTATTTTGGGCTAGTTTCATGGCATTGTGAGCCCGAGAGACTGGAGAAATTGATGACTGAGTGAGGCCGAGGTCCCGAGTGTGAGTGATATTATGGGATCGGGCTGCACGCCGCAGCATGTTATATTTGATTATATTATGGGATCGGGCTGCACGCCGCAGCAGGTTATATTGATTTGTACCATGATTGGCTTGATATAGCACTTGGGCTGAAGGAGCCCCTCCGGAGTATGCACATACACCCAGTGAGCACGGTTGATTATATTGAGAGATGGATCTTCCCTGGACATGGATCTTGTCCGAAGCATTTATATACCTGGGGATGGATATTCCCCACGGGTTAATTTGGCCCTACTCAGTACTGAGTGACTGATGGTCAGTTGATGTATATATTCCGGGATGGATCTTCCTTGGGCCGAATTGGCCATATACAGTACTGAGTGGTTGAGCATGATGAGTGGAAAGTGTGAGACAGTGAGATCGAGTACTCCGAGAGTGTGAGTACATGAGTTTATTATTGAGGTACATGGAATTGACATGCAGGCACAGAGATGCATTTATTCCTCATGTTGTACGGTATCACGTCATTCATGACTTCTCATACATATTGACATATGGGCATAGTGATATATGTTACACTGGCTACCTGGAAGGAAGAGTGAAACATCACATTTATTGTTGAAAGGATTTTTGAAAAATGTTAATATTTTCAAACTTACTCATATTTTCGACGATTTCGGTAAAGAATTTGGATTTTCACTGATATACTTGAAAAGTGGAACTATTTTTCGAGAAACTATGAATAAGCTGAGCATTTCATCGCTGAATTACTTCTTTTATTACTTGTTACATTGTTATGAGTTGTTGTTGGATATATGTGTTGGACCAGACCTTTGTTCTAGCTCGTCACTACTTTCAGCCTAAGGTTAGGTTTGTTACTTATTGAGTACATGGGGTCGGTTGTACTCATACCACACTTTTGCACCTTGCGTGTAGATGTTGGCTGCTGACGTTTCTGAGATCGGCGGGAGCTATATTTGAAGATGTACCGGCGTTCCGGTCGTAGCTGCCTCTTGTTCATGGTAGCCTTAGATTCATAACAATCTGTTTATGTACAATTCTAACAGATGATGTATTTATTTCATACCAGCTTTGTAAACTCCATTCTTAGAAGCTCATGATTTGTACTACCAGTCCTTGGGAAATGTATCGGTTTTAGATATTTTCTTTCATTTAATTGTCTCATTTATTTCATTGAAATTGGATAGTTGTTAATTGGCTTACCTAGCGGGCTGGGGGTTAGGTGCCATCACGACTAGTTGGATTTTTGCGATCGTGACAGTAGGAGAGCAAATTGTGAGAAAAAATGACGACGATGGGGGGCTATTTATAGTTTTTAAAAGGTTAAAAATGTGATTTATCAATTATTAGGGGTGTGGGACTATTTTCTTAAGAGGGTAGGCCGAAATGGCCAAAAATGCAAAAAAAATAGCCGTTGCCCAACGGTCATTTTTGAATTTGCATAACGGTAACCAGGCTGGACCGGGTTGCAGCCGGTTAAATTTAGTAGTGGGTTGCTGGGCTTACCGGGCTCCGGGGCACCGGTTACCAAAAAAAGTCAGCCCCTGTTCGGCTAAGCCCCTAACCCTCCCCAACCCGTCTCACCCCCCTAGCGGATCGGGCTGAACCGGGTCGAACCGGGATGGTAGTGGGCTGCCCGGCCCGGCCCGTTTAACAGGTTTAGGTGAAGCCCACTAGGTATTTCAAATATTATTCGATAAGTCCACAATGCATGATCTAACTTTAAAATCCAATCCTTACATAGATACATCAACAATTATTTTTTCTCAAAATTCTTTTTAGTTCTCTTGGAAACCTCGACATCACTATTGGTTTGTGCATCTAGTAAGCATGTTTTGTGTGTATCTAATTTATTTTGACTAGGCATCGAATTAAAAAAGAAAATCTTTTAACATTTATAATCTAAAATAAATTATAAAATATTTGTATGATTATAAATTATCTTAATAAGAATAAAATAAAAACATTTAAAATCAAAATTATATCTAAATATATAAAATACGTTTATTATTTGAAGTGCATCACATTCACATATTTTAAGACAGAAAGTATTTGTTTGGTCAAGTGGGAGAACATGTGCACCCAAGTGCACGTGCATTTACAACATAAAAATCGTACTAAATCACAACCTAAAACCCATCCAACAGACAAATTCATTAATTTTCACGCGTTTCTCTCTCTCTCTCTCCTTTTCCAGAATATAAATCTACCTCCGCATCACATCATTTCTCTCTCTCTCTCTCCGAAAAATCTCTCATTTGCTACTTTCTCTCTCGTCCATTCACGGGGCATCAACCAGTTAAAGGTACCTTCCTCTTCGCCGCATCTCTTTTTTCTCTCCTTACCTAAACCAATTAGTTTGCGAAAATCTCTAATCACCATAATTTCTCCTATGTTTAGATTTAGTAATTTTTATATGTATATATTAAGTACTTATTTTGGTATGGGAGATAAATATTGAAAATATTGAAAATCTTCTTCTTCTGTATTGTTTTTCAGGCTTTGTTCAGTAAAACTCGAAAATGAACAAATTTGCATATAGTCAAAATGCCTTGGTGGGTTTTGTCGGTGTTGGAGAGATGACTAACGGCGTTTATAGATCAAACGGCGTCGTTTGTCCCAAGCCTCGTAGGGGTGGGCTATTCAATTGTGCACCTTTTCCGTTGGGACAAATTAAGTATGTCTCTTTTTTCTCTTAGATTGATTTGTTTTTTCTCCTTTGTTGATTTTGTTTTGGTTATTTATTTTGGGTATTTATACGTTTTTTTGGTCTTTTAGCAATCAAGAAATGGAGGGTTGCGATTTGAAAGCAGGAACTGAGCTTCTCGATATCATTCTCACCAAGGTAATTACTAATTAGTGTAGTAATTAGTCACCCATTAGATGATTTTATTTAATTTTAATCTCTTGATTTTGATTAGGGAGCTGAGCTTAGGTTCAGAGTTTAAGATGATAATTTGTTGTCAATTTAAAAAAAAATAATACTACTAGTTAAAAAGTTAATTTCTCAATGGAAATAAATCTGAAAATGTTTTATAAATTTGAAATGTTGAAAGTTGTTAAATTCTATAAAATAAGGTTGTATCAAATATTTAAGTACATTCGAAAATGAGAAAGATTAGCTTACCAATTAAGACAGAGGAAGTAAATTTTACTCTATAAATTCTGATAAATTCTATACTCTATAAATACTGATAAATTCTTCTTCTCCCTCTAGTTTCATGTATTCAGTCGAAGTTTATTGATTCACTCAACCTGTTTCCTTAAGCTATTAATAGTGTTTTTTCATTAGAAATTTAGTCTGTTAACTACTTAGACTACTTAATTCAATTAGTCTAGCTAAAAATTCTGATTTTTTCTGTGATCAGGGGAGATATGATGTTGAGAATTCCGATTTGCAGTTGGCTTCATCTCCACCATTTTTTTGTGGATCTCCGCCTAACCGGACTTCAAATCCCCTGACTCAAGACGCCCATTTTGGTGACGACAATTTTGTACTTGTGCCACCAATTCAAGAATCAGCAGTACCAGCACCTTCACCACCACCACCCTTCTCCTCCTCCAGTCGTATGACCGGAGGTGGCTGCGTTCGAGTGAAGTTCGGGAACAATTCAGCTCCTGTGAGGATTGAAGGGTTTAATTGTCGTGGTAGCTGCAGCATCTCCGCTGTTGCTTAGGTATACATATAACATTCACTTACTCAGACATGACGGAAAAGAGCAGAAAATTGTGTGGAGAGAAACCAAAACCAATTCGTTTAGCTTTGTGTATATATTGAGTGAAAGAAAGAAAGAAGGTACTCCTCTTTTGCTGATGAGTTTTGTTCTGCAATCATTCAGATACCTGTAATCTGTATATTGTAATGAGGTGATGAATGAGTGTCAAATTGAGAATAGGAAAGCAATAACTTGAGCTCTAAGAGGGAGAAAGGCTAAAGATTGTCATCTTTTCTCTGGGAGTATTAGGATTCTTTACTATAATTAGGGCAATGTATGAGTTGGGAGTATTTATTTAGTGTAGTGTGAAGACTCAAGAGACACTTATTTAGAAGAGATGGTCTTCTTAGAAATTCTTTTTATCTTGTATTCTACTAGTGATATTTTTTCATTTTCAGTAAGCTACTGTATTGTTAATACTTTAGCTCTTTAGATGGAAAGAGTATCTTGTCAACCTTTGATGATGAGTCATGTAACTATTTAAGGAATTACATTATATTACAGTTATCATATAAATATTTTTATATTTTCAGTGTAATAGCATGTTACTATTTGTCTTCTGTTTCACTCTTCAATTCATAGTTTGTTAATTGTAGTTGGCTTTATATAAAGTTTACAAAGAAAAGTGCAGCCTAGTGTATAAAATATCTCGTGTTCATGCAAGGTTGGGGGAAGAGTCACACTTCGAGAAGGTGTGATGTAGGCAGCCTATCCTGATGCAAGCATCAGTAGAATCTACGGCTCGAAAAGGCAATGTTATGGTTGCTCCAGCTCCTTTCATAAAATTTACCAAGTGCTTTAGTATAAGTCCATACAGTCGCGTTCATATCGCCGCTTGCTTGGGATTTTGAACTTAACGATAAGTTATCTCTCATATGTTTGGCATATGGAATAAGTAAAGATGCCAAATTGCACAACACAAGTTGGGGAGGAAATAATGTTATCCGATGGTGAAACATTGGAAACTACGTGGACGGATTTGTATCTTAGGTTTAGAGTGGTCATAAAAATCCGGAAAACCGAACCAAATCGAACAAAGAACCGATACTTTTTAGGTTTGGTTTGGTTTTGGTTTTGAATTTTAAAAACAGATCAAATTTGGTTTGGTTTTGGTTTTGATAAAAAAAATAACCGAAAAAAACCGAACCTAACCGACTATAAAAGTAGCTATTTAAAATTATTATTACACCTACGTATATGTATTTTTATATAAAGTTTCTAAAATTTTGTCGTACATATTAGTCATTTGTATTTTTAGTCTTGTTCTTTGCTATTATAATATTCTAATTTTTTGCCTTTACATTCAAGTTTGATTGGTAGTTTTCTTTTGCAAGTACAAGAATTTATTTCATAATAAAAATAATCGATTTTTAATTGAGTACTTTCATCACTATTTAATTCAATTATCATCAATATATCTTGGTAAATGATAGATTTCTCAAAGAGCAATTGATTTGATAGTGTTACGTTGAAAATGTAGTCGCCGGAATATGCGTTTGGTAGTGTATGTCTCATATTTAAGAAAAAACCGATAAATCATCGAAAAAACCGAAAAACCGACAAAAAAACGACAAAGACCGAATCGATAAAAAATCGACTAAATTGGTTTGGTTTGGTTCAAATATTTGAAAAACCGACTTACTTGGTTTGGTTTCTTTTTAGGGAAAAATCGATCCAAACCGAACCATGAACACCCCTACTTAGGTTATTTGCTTTGAGCATCTCTTTTAATAAGTATTTAAGTTATTATTTGATAGTGTAAAGATTTTGCAGTAAATAGATTTTAACTTGTACTAACAAGTTAGTTATTATTTTTATCAAATTATAAATTAATGTTATGAATAGACTTACTTATATTTACTTAATTTTTTTTCTTATATTTACTTAAATAAAATATAAGAAAAAATAAAATAAAATAAAAAAATTAAGTATAGCGGGAGCTTAGTTCACCGGACTGCCAAAAAAAGAAAAAAAATTATACAGTCACTACTTAAATTTAGATTCAATAAATAATGATGGTATCTGAGTCAGCTTGCGTGTAGTGCAATTTGATATCCTATTGATATCTATGATCTTCCACCAGCACATATATTATGTATTTGCCAATCAAAACATCGATAGATGAAAAAAGAAATTACTTAACATTTTTGTTTATGTTTTAGATTTGAAATTTAAAACATTTTTTATGTACTAGGTTTTACTCAACTCCCACCCATGGGTGGTATTTGCTTTTAATCATGTGATTTGGTTGAATTGAATGTCAGCCCAAAGAGAGTGTTAATTGCTGACAACTTTGTCTAAAATAATAGGCTGGCTTTTGCTAATGGTTAGAGACAATGGTATAAAAGAATGGCAAGTTGGTGGGGCTTCCCCTTGCCCCTTTGTACTTTCCAAGAAGGGTACCATACAACTAACAAACTTTGAGAATGTTGTGTGCCGACTGTGTTGTCGTTATAATCCGCTTAGCATGTGTGTTTGCATGTGGAGTATTATAACAGTAAAGGTGTTTACCGGACGGACTGGACCGGGTTGATCATGAGATAAAACAGCCCGCTGTTTAGTGGGCTGGCATACTGGGCTTTTGGGCCTATCCGGTTCGAACCGGGCCATTTTCTTAAGTGTATTATATTTTCTTATTCCAAGTAATTGATACTTAAGTGCTTGCAAACTTCTAAATAATAAAATGAATATTTTAAGACATAAATTTAACTTTTAAAGTTTAAACTTTAAAGTGTTAAATTTGAAATTTGAATTTTAAAACTTTAAAATTGAAATTAAGTGGCTACATAAAATTATTGTAAAAATTGCACGGGACGCTCTATTTGATCGCCCCCATTTAACCAATACCCATTTTTTTTTAAAGTTTTAACTTTGTACCCACTTTTTAAACAACTTCAGCCCCCTTTCTCCTTCTTTTTCTTCTTCTTCTTCTTCTTCTTCTTCTTCTTCTTCTTCTTTCTTCTGCTACTGTTGGTAATGCTATGAAACTTCAGTTCATGGGATGATTGCCATAAGTATGTTTATCAGATTATTTAAAAATAAATTATAAATAATTACGTATAGACAATAATTTGTGAATATTTTCACGTAATTATGTTCTTTTCACGTTTATTATTTTCAAAATTTATGATTTAGATATTGTTGGCAATCTGATTATTTTATAGTAGTAATGTACTATGAAAGAATAAGGTGATTATTTATCTAGTATGTTAGAAAGCTTTTTCAAAAACTTCAGCTTATATAGTGCTGAAGTTTTTACAAATGAACTAAATAACTTCAGCATCTTCTGCTGAAGTTTTTGAATAAGCTTTATGACAAAACTAATGAATCCAGGAAATAGCACGGTCTAGCCAGTTTTCAGACTGGTCATTCAAAAGCCAGCGTTTATCAAGTCAATGAAAAATAGCCACTATTTTGCTGCAACAGAGACCGGTCCAGCATAATATACTGGAGTTCGGTGCACCTGTGTATGAACTTCCAGCATATTATGATGGAACTCCAACACACGAAAAGTTCCAGCATAATATACTGGAGATTCGAGCACTTGTGTATGAACTTCCAGCATATTATACTGGACCGGTATACTTTGCTGGAACTCCAGTATAATATGCTGGAATTCTAGTGTACTTATGCTGGAACTCCATCATATTATGCTGGAGTTCCAGCATACTTATCCTGGAACTCCAATATAATATGTCGGAGTTCAAGTATACTTATGCTGGAACTCCAGCATAATATACTGGCGTATTTTCCGGGTTTTGAACATTTTTTCACTCAGATTTATCTTTACATGAAAAGTGGCTAAATTTCGATTACTTTTGAAACTGGGCTATTTTTGAACGCCCACTTGTAAATATGACTATTTTTGAATTTCTCCCCAAAAAAACTTCAGCTTATATAGTGCTAAAGTTTTTACAAATGAACTAAATAACTTCAGCATCTTCTGCTAAAGTTTTTGAAAAAGCTTATCCAGGACAAAAAAAAACTTCAACTTATTTAGTGTTGAAGTTTTTACAAATGAACTGAATAACTTCAGCATCTTCTACTGAAGTTTTTGAAAAAGTTTTATGACAAAACTAATGAATCCAGGACAAAAAAATTCAGCTATTTTAGTGCTGAAGTTTTTACAAATGAACTAAATAACTTCAGCATCTTCTGCTGAAGTTTTTGAAAAAGTTTTATGACAAAACTAATAAATACAGGAGAAAAAAACTTCAGCTATTTTAGTGCTGAAGTTTTTACAAATGAACTAAATAACTTCAGCATCTTATCCAAGACAAAAAACTTCAATGTATTGCCTTTGCTACTTCAGGCCCGTCTACTAGAATGCTGAAGTTTTGCATGATTGCCTTTGCTACTTCAGCCCCGTATGCTGAAGTTACGCGAAAAAGTGGGTACGCTTACAATTTTTTTTTGCAAAGCGGGCACAAGTTAAAACGTGACCCAAAAAGCGGGTATAGATGCAAATCCCCCAAAATAATTTGGTAAGACCAATATGTAAGGATCAAATTTTAAAGGCTTTCATTTCATATTTTCATTACATAATAATACTTCAAATTAACTTGCAAGTTCTATTTTTTATTTTTTTTTATTTTTGAACTTGCAAATTAAAGGTTTACATTTCACAACACTCAAAAGTTTAGTGTTTACTACTGGCAAATGCCAATAAGAGCAAATTGTCTTATAAACTAACACATTAAGCTTAAATAAGTCTAATAAATTCAAAATAACACAGATTGTCTTAAATCAACTTAAATACGAAATCTTGGAAGACGCTCGAGAGAACCCTTGATATGCTTCCTTAAATCATTTGTGCCCACCCACTTTCGATGAATATTAAAGACTCGATCACGGTTCTTACACTCTACTTTGCGAACTTCTTCATTTTCTTCTACCTCCTCAAATTGTTCTCAAACATGTGAGCGCACTCTAGAAGCACGGGGCATGATTGAACTTGAACCTAATAAAAATGGTAATCATACTTCACTTGAGAATCGTAATTTTGTAGTGGCTCCGTAAATAATTGATAAAACATAAAATAATAATTAATTGAAAACTTGAGAGCAATAAGCAATTCAATAATCAAGAGGGAATTAGAGTAGAAGAAAAGAGTAAGTTGTGAGAAAAATAAAGAGCGGGGGCGGAGGGGGGAGGGGGCTATTTATAGTTTTTAAAAGGCTTAAAATGTTATTTATCAATTATTAGGGTTGGAGGGCTATTTTAGTAAGGGGTAGGACGAAATGGCTAAAAGTGCAAAAAATGGTCGTTAAACAAAAAAAGTTTGAAACGTAAACTGGGCTGGAACCCGATTAAAACCCGTGATCGGGTTACCGGGCTAGCCGGTTCCGGTGCACCGATACCCAAAAAAGGCCCGACTCTGTCTGAACAACCCCTACCTTAGCCAACCCGTCTCACCTCTTACCGGACCAGACCGGACTGAACGGGGCTATTAGTGGGCCGGCCCAACCCGATTAACACCTTTAATTAATAAGGATAAGATGCTAAAGCTAGACGGCTTCAAAAGCAAACTAC